GGGAACACTTATGTTGGGACTCCACCCACAATGAGCGGGGTTCGAGCAGAAACTTATGAATCCTGTTCCTATAGACCTAGAGAGTTCAAATTTGGTAGGAGTACAGGCGGCAGCATAGGAACACCAATGGTGGGTATCAGGGCCGGACTCCGCCCATAGTGGCCCATTGGGCGGGGTTTGAACGGAAAACGGGCTTGCAGAGACTGTCAAAATGGACCTCGAGCTACCAAACTTGGTAGGAATAGAGGAGGTATGATAGGTACACTGATAATAGGTTGCAGGACTAAACTCCGCCCCAAAGGGCGGGGCGTGAATAAATAGTGTTAGTTCGGACCCAGACCGTTGAAACTTGAAGGCACAAGGAGTTGGCTGGGAACATTGATGGTTGCTAACACAATAGACTCAGCCGCAATGAAGTCTCTGGATATTTTTTTCTCTGAATGATCGCCTTTGTGATATTATACGATGTTCTATCCGGGCACAGCGAAATGGCTTACAGAAAAAATCGCTCCCAATTCGGCGCTAATACTGAGGGTGTAGAGCTTTCAAAGAAAAAGCAGAATCCGAAGTGTTATTCACGCATAGCAAATTTCTCACAGGAAGGAGGAACGCCCGGCGTAGCCGGGCGAACCTATAAGAAGGAGGGAAGCCCGGCGTTAGCCGGGCGGCCCGATAAGGAAATACGATGTAAGGAGCAGAGCGTCATTTGTTTGCGGCCCTTAATCATGACGTCCATGAGCTTTTACGACAACCCTACTCATTCATTCCGGTTCATGAGATAGGTCAACGTTATTCCTAACTGATATAGGGCTCTTTTTTCCAACGGTTTACTTCATTGTTTAATAACAATCTTGTCCGGACAATTTCGATGTTAGTATCGCCTATTTCAGGGCTATCCCAAAGAGGTACGCATTTCTGCATATAAATGTTCTCTGTTTATCAGACCATGATTAAGTAGTCGTGCTGACCCCGATGACTCGAGCAGATTTTACTGGATTAGCTGAAGAAGATAGCCGGTTAGATAATAGGTGCGAACCGACTCAATCAAGCTTTGTGAAACTAACCAAAGGGACAGGTAAAAAAGAGTTAATTGGTTAGTGTAGATGAATATTAGTAAAGGTAATATTATTGAATATTTCCAACATTTCTGTAAATATCTCAATAGCGAAGCAGCCTGAAGTTCAGAGGTATGAACCATCACAATCCACTACTCGGTGCCAAAGCGCTCAGGCTTGTCGATTATTTCCTCCCAAAAGGACGAAGGCTGGGACTTGAAGAAGTCGTCGAGTACTTTTCTGACATCATCTTCTGTTTCAAACTTTTCCCGTCCAGAAAGCGCTGCAGGTGTCTGAACAGCCAGTGGTCGGAAGAAGAGAGGTGAGGGCTGTAGGGAGGAGGGGGCTGCGCCGACAATCAGCCATCCGTACTTCTCCAGCTCGGCCTGCGGTGTGAGGTCGGACGTTGTCACGATGGAAGTAGATTCCCGCGTTCGATCCACGAGTACGGTCGACGTGATCTATCTATTTCCGCAGCTGAGTAACGTATGTATGTGGAAACGTCAATTGTCTGTTCCATCTTCAGCAGGTCACAGTGCTGAGCGCCTCTTCTGGACCACCAACAAAGCAAGAAGACCTTCTTGAGGTGAAGGTCAACTTTTGAGATGACTTCTGACTGTTCTCCTTTGTCGACCCACTGTCGCTTCCTCACTGGGTTATAGTAGAGGACCCACTTCTCATCTCCAGTAATCATCGAGTTGAGAAAGTGGAGCTTCATTGGAACGTGAAGAGAGAAGTGCAGATGGCCACCCTCCTCGGGAGGCTATAAGCGGGCAGTTCATGTAGGACCCATAGACCAAGTTTTGCTACCTTGCCGAGCTGATCCACTCCACATACAATTGTCGATTGATGATAGCCGAGCATGGTCGCCATTACTATGGTGGTTAGGTACGGGTCTTCTTCCACGGTGGAACGTAGTACTTCAAAATCCAACTCCATTGGCTGACCCGACCTCGGAGCACCTTCGAGAGAAAGGTCTTCTTCTTCTTCTCCCCAGCGTCAATCCCGCGCCGTCGCAGGGTCCGCTATTCTTGCCAGCCGCCTCCATTTCCCTCTATCTACGGCATCTTGTGCCATTACCTTAGCTCCCACTTGATCATCTCTGGGGCTCCTCGCGGTCGCTTCCCTTGGGCCACGAACTCTATTGCATCCTTTACTGAGTGATTCCTTGGCCTTCTCATTACGTGTTCGTACCATCGCAGACACTGTTCTCTCATCTTTAACTGTGCAGGGGCTACTTGTAGGACCGCTCTGACGTCCTCGTTTCTGATTCGGTCCTGTCGCCTAAGCCACAGGCCCACCTAAGCATCCCATCTCAGTGGAGTGGAGTTGTCTTTCATGATTCCTATCTACAGGCCACCACTCACTGCCGTAGATCATCGCGGGCCTCACCACTGTCCTTACACCTTTCCTTGAGGGTCCTAAAGCACCAACGGTCGCACAGGATACCAACGAGAGTCATCGAGACTCCCGCTGGTATCCTGAGAGGACTCCCTTCACTCCAACCATGCCGCGTTTATTCGGGATTTCACAGCGTGGTCCAGGCTACCATCAGTGGCTAGATCACTCTCCAGGTATCGGAAGTCATGTACCCTTTCGATGACTCCCACAAGACCGTCTACAATTGACTCGGTACACTCCTTGGAGCTGAGAAATGTGGTATTCTTCACGTTCGGCGGACACATTATCCGCCAGCACTTTCCGCCTTTTCTGCAGCTTTCCCTGGAGTTCTTGTCTGCTCTCCGCTATCAGAGCGATGTCATCAGCGTAGAGGATGGTCCTCAGTGGTTCATCCAGGAGCCCGCTTGTGATGACATCCACTGTAAGTAGGGAGTGGAGCGGGCTTAGAGCTGATCCCTACTGAGCCTACTCCAACAGTGACGTCTATTGCTTCAGTCAGGCCGTGAGGAGTGCGTACTGCTCTGTGGACACCCATCGTACATGTTTCTGAACAGGGAAATTAGGTGTTCTAGAAAGTTTCGCTCTCGAAGCGCTCTCCAGAAGACCTGTCGCGGGAGACGATTGAAGACCTTCTCCAGTTCGAGGAAAGCTAGCTAGCAAGGTCTACGCTTTTCTCTGTACTACTCCATTACCTGTCTGGCCATGAAGATAGCATCCGTTGTAGACCGTTCTGACATGAAGCCGAACTGCTCTCATGAGATCTGGAGGAGCTCCCTTAATCTTGAGTCGACTAGCCTGATCCCCTTGTGGTAGGAACACTCCACCGTGTCCCCTTTTGCTTGAATATGCAAACGATGGTGCTGCTTCTCCATGCATCTGGTATCGTCGTTTGCATATGCAGGGTGGGTTAGCGGTAGCTAATGTAATGAAAGAGTATCATGCACAGGTCACGCACACGTGATGACGAAATACCAACATCCATGCAAACAAAATACGGTAGGATCAAACACAGGAAAAAAACTTATGCACCATTCTAATATTCGGATTAGCTAACACAAGTCCCCTTCCTTTAAGCTCGTAGTGGCGTTTAAGCGCGCACGCGATGTGTAAAATGTCTTGTGTACCTAGATTATACATATATGTAGTTCTGTTACTCGTACCAAATTCGTCTGATACTATAATAGTAATCGAACATGATAAAAAACCCGTTTCGTGGCTTATAAGGGATTAGATCGGAACTTCCATGCGTCTGCTACATGACTAGTGATTTATTCGCTTCACTATGTCGTGCGCCATGCTGGTTCGAAATTGAACGATAACGAGAGTAAGTTGCCCCAGTTGTGACTTATAAATGGATTCGAGGATTTGGCGAAGGGAAACATTAAACTACTCACGTTAGTAACGTAATTTCCTAACTGGAGGCGAGAGTTCACAGTAGAAACATCCTCTCAAAGCAACGAGATACGAGAATGAGTAGCTTAGAATATCATCTCGATATCTATGTCAATTTGCTTTGAAAAATTCATTCATAATTGAGCATTTTCATAGTCAACAGCAGCCTATTACAATTCTGTCCTTTATATCATTGATTTTACGGACATTCAGGTTCAATATCTGACTTCCGTAGGTTCACACGTCCAAAACTTCCGCCATAAACATCCGCGTTCGACTGCATGAACGTTGCGATTGAGTGAATTGTCAATTGGTTAGTCATATCGACCTAAACATCAATTTAAAAAGAACTTTTCTCAGCTTTTTTACAAGTTTACTTGTACTGAACAATAAAAGTAAAATAATTTCCAGAAAGCTCTGAAAATAGAAAAATCACTTCGTCGGCCGGTTTCTCTTCATCCGTCGTCTTCGATTCCCTCGATCCTGTCTGAAACTCAAAGGTTAAGCGAAAGTTATGGAGAGGGCAGACTGCTCGAAGGATTCACCTCAGGCGATGTTTTCTCCTTACGAACAAAAGCTTCCATTTTGTTACTTATTATAGAAAATGACCCTGGAAAGGAGTTTTTGATAGGATTCACTATATTTGATCACTGATACTTATTTATATCTACCATGTACTCCGTTCTCCATACTCAAATAACACATTCTGTTTATAACTTTAAGCATAGGTAAGCTGAAGAAGAATACCGAACAGATGAATACGTCAAACTGAAAACAGAATGGATTCAGCAAAGTAGTATTCGAAAAACCCCCCATAATTATGAGTTTTCTACTAACCGGAATATTATTGGGCATAACGTCGCCGAGACCAATAGTCGTGAATGATTGAAAAGTGAAGTAAAAAGAAAGGAACCAACTCAATCCCGAATCAGGAGGACCTGACAGCGCATCGTAGGAATGCACATACACGGTTCCGCACAACATGATGACTGAAACAAATCAAGCTTTGGAAATCGAAATATCGAATGATCTTAGTTATATCGCCCATCGGAAAACTGTAAGCACTGGAAAATTTGTAAAATAAAACGGTTATAGAAAGCGGCTCTTACGTATACATATCCCTAGACATATTGAAATTGGAAGCATGAATACCTCATCGGATTTCTCGCCAGCATTCGTGCTGAAAAGTAATTCGATAACAAAAGTAACAGACAGTTATCTGGGGGTTGGTGGGGTCATTTTCTTATAAAATCTACACGTCCCTGAAGAGTTCGAAAAATTTGAACATAATATGAAGCTCTAATCTCGAGTATACGACATTAAGTCTTACAATCTCAGTTTGAGCCGAGCATATGCGGTAGTAAGATAGACAAGGGCTAGCTGTCCGATATCACGGATGATGATCCAGGTTAAGGGAACAAATATGGTCCCGTAGAACATGGTGAAACACTTAGCTGCAAACGTATCCGGAGCAATCGAGCCTGGAAAGCTTTAAATTTTCCGCTCAGTCTGCAGAGTCTTTGTGTTTCAGTTAAAATAATGATGGAAGCTGGGCAGTGACTGAATTGTATGTAAAATGTCAAAAATTGAATCTGGGTGTACTAAATTGCTGACTGAGCGTATTGGTCCCAACTCACTGCCAACTGGATGGATGCCGCGTATGCCAATGTGATGTGAACACTGCACGCGCCGTAGCTGCTGATTTGACAGCTTTGATCATTGAAAAAGGAATAGATATTTAGTGTTTGCTAATTGACTTCTTTTTCACGTTCGAGGATTCCAAGGACAGATGGCCTAAATTGTAAGAGCCCCAAGAAAAAACTAGCAGACTTTTTTTTATATGATATTGTATACTTTTTGGTACATTACATACTACAAACTGCAAACTACTCGAAATGACGTCCATGTCGACAAAGCTGAACATCCCTACAAGTTGATTTGAAGCATAATGAAGGCGTGAATTATTAGGTTGGCAAATAAGTCCTGCGACAAAAAATTTGAAGCGTTGAAAACTTGTATCAACAGTGTGAACACGGTAGCAAGGGTGATAGACTTGTAGGAAATTCCTCAGGCAATTAACACATAAGTAAATAACGGCACGCTTGTGGGCTTTCAGAGCATTACGGTCAATGAATTGACAACACCCGATTCGTACCATCACCTTCTACTAAGCACGCCAAGGGAAAAACGCGGGTGTAGCAGCTCAAATTATCAGCAACTTATTCAGCGCTGGCACTGCTCACCGATCAACGGTCAACAATTGGTTGGATCGCTTCACTGGAGGAGATACTAGCCTTTGGGGTAACGCAAGCATCGTCCCTTAGTTTAATGGAGGTTGAAGGAATCCATCCACTATGAGTTGCTAAACGCAGACTAGATGGAGACAGCTATCGATTGAATCTATGATCCCCCTTATTAGGCTAACGGGCTTAGAGAAGGACGATCAAACCGTAAATCAGGTCACTCCAGAGGGACAACGCACGTCGAAAATTCGCTCTAGACCCACGTCAAAAGTTCACCGATCCCGATTGGTTCCAGATTACTAATCAGTCCTACTCCCGGAGTGTTCCCCCTTTTACCTACCATGTGCTCTCCCTTTTTGAGCATCTCGTTGTGGAAAAGAAATTCGTAACTTAATGTGATCCAAAAACGGTAGCCAATTACTTCTTTGAGTCACAGCTCCCTCACTCCTGAAGAGATGGCATTAGTGATCGGCTCAAAGAATAAAAGAAGGTTGTTGACTTCTTTAGTAAATATTTTTCCGAAAATTGATTGATATGAAGAAATTTTGAAATGATTTAGAAAAGGTCTCCATTTTGTCGCAGGACTTATTTGCCAACCTAATATTAGAATCTAGTTGGATACAAATATCAAGGTCGTATTTGTAAAAGATCTTATCGTGGAAGGGACTCGAGCTTGGAGCGCCCAGATCCGTCTCATAGCGTGGTATTCTTTGTACGCTGTTTTGGATTCGGTGGAGGAAAGTTCATTCTTCGATGGGCGGAAACAGAGAAAAGTGAAAAACATCTTGAGAATTATTTCAATGCATTCATGAAGGAGGATGCAGCACCGTCATAAGAAAAAAAAACTTAACATGAAATTCTCCTTGGCTTCAAACGTGAAAATAAAAAGACAAAACAAGAAAATATTAATTGGTTAGATATTGCAACAGTTCGATCCTACTGTTCTACGTACCGTATCCAGTTGTTGTAAATACATTCGACGCATAAAAGAGGCTACTTCCAAATGTCCATTTCCAGTGATTAGGTTCATCGGTTTTGTAAAATGTGGACCATTTAAGCAACCCGTCAGTGTTTAACATTGCAATGTAGTCTTTCTGGAAATCGCATCATTTCAAAATTTTGTGCATTCTACCTTATAGATTGTTCTAGCTAACAGTTGACCAATAGTTCTCAAGAGATTAAGTTTGAAACTGCCAGAATTTATTTTCTAAAGTTGAAGAATTTCAATTCTACCTTTAAAGCCGCTGTCTTCTCTGATAATGTCAGATTGGAATTGCCGTTTTTATATCGCAAAACGATTTCCATAATTCTACTGTCGAGCTGTGCTTTTTTAGCTGGAATTGCCTGAAACAAAAAACATAGACTGATTCTGTTGTTTGGAGAAAATCGAAGACAAAAACTTTGAAATCCTATTATCAGCAAAACTTACAAATCAAATCTTTAAGTTGATGCCTGTCAAAATTAGCGGTGAAACTGAAAGCCAAAAGAGAGAGAAATGCAGCTTGAAGCTGGTGAACACCACGAGTTCTGTTTTCACAAAAAGCGAAACCTCGAGCGACACTGTAGGAGTTACGAATGAACTGCCTTCTACAGAGATTGCATCCTAAGCATACGGTCAGACAATTCCACCAGAGGCATGTGCTAAGGTTTAGTCGCAGCCTAAGTCTTCAGCAACTCTAAGAATCGGTGGGCTTCTTCTTTTCTAAATGCACACACCATTCTCATGCTCAAAAATTCCAATTATAGTAGGTATTCTGAACACTATTAATCGATAGCGAATGGTCAAGTAACCAGAGGAGTGCTGAATTATGGGCATATTTTTCGTCCGCATATTTGGATGGGACTCGGATCCAACACTGTTTCCGCTACCTTTTTTTTGTACCATCTGCAATACTGGAAACTACACACTCGTCCGCCTTCAACGTTTTGACCATAAACTTAGGTAGCTAAGCTTATCTTTACTCAACACGCTCACCAGCTCGTCATGTTATCCGCTTAAGAGCTGATACGTTAAAATAGATAAACCAGTAAGAAACTGAGGGAAGATGGATGAGGCCTGAGCGCGCAATGTGTAAGAGAACGGTGCCCAGAAATCACTAGTCCAAGTTCGAGCCCAGTTGAGGAAGGCGCTCTGCCCATTTCTCAGCACCCTCGGCATTAGCATCTCGAGCTTACAATAAGATCATAATCAGTTTGTTAACAAACGGAGCAGCTCACTGTTATGTTATGTTCAAACCGGGTTCGACAGGCTCAGTGTTCTATAACAAAATTATAAGTATGAAGTCTGGTAGACGAAAATTTATAGTGCTCACCACTGCCTCTGCACTTGATTCGAAGTAGTATATAACATATCCACCCAAAACGGAATAGAATATTAGAATAGATATCAAAAATAAATGACGTAGACCGATACTTCTGTCGATAAGCAATAAGATGTGAGTCAGGTGATGCAAAACTGAAATAGCGACTGTTCTTCTACTGAATGATTTCAAAAATATGAGGTGAAATTTAGGCTGTCAAGAAACTGTTCATATAATAATGGTTAGTTAATTAGAAATAAAAAGAGTCAAACTCAGAGTAGATCAAGGACAATGTTTGCATGGTAAGACCAAAGTAAACAAGTGAAGGTCAGAGCCTCTTGATTGGCCTTCAAAGGCAGTAACTGATGGTATATGGCCGCTTGACAGCCTCACATCTAACCATTGCAAAATTGAATGGGCTAACCTGTCTTAGAAGCCTTTGTTTGACCTGAAATGAAATAGTTTTAAGAGCAGTTGCCATAAATAGTATATGGGAGCAGCTATATTCATTTGAACAAACTTTTGTTAGCTCATGTGCAGTAATAAAGTTCAATTAAGACGAAGTTAGTATAACGAAATGAAATTACGTTGACCCATGGTCGGGAAGACACACTTCCTTGACTAACGATATCTTCCATTCGAACTGTGGCCACATCAGTATGCTCATAAAAATCGTCAACTGTTCTCCACGTAGCCATAACTTAACTCTGGAATTCAACGCATATTCCAAAAATCAACAACTATGTGATATAGTAATCGATGTAAGTGTAACCGACTGGTAGACACGACCTCTCTACCGGTTTCACAGATGATGAACTACTTCATAAATGGACAGTGCTGAAAAACACGGATAGACCGTCAACACAAACTTGACTTTGAAAGACTGTAGTCAGTAGAAATAATATGCGCTACACACACAAGCGAGCAGAGAAAGAAAACTTTCTCTTCATTGTATGCTGCCATATAGCCTATAGAACAGCACTTTATTTTCTTGTGCAAATACGGTTTGACGTGGTAGTGAACCCAATTGATGAACCCAGTTAGTATCAATAAAGGGAAATATTGTAACAACACGGTTGTTCGCGGCTGACTGAATGGCGCTTGTGACTAAGCCGACAACTATTGGGTTGTCTCAGAAGTTCGTGCACGCTGAACTGGATCGGCTACACTCTCTGATTCAAGGGAATCAATTCGAAACGACTCGCTCTCTAACAATCACACACAGCTGCTCAAAATATTCAGCAAGCAGAGATCTTCGCCTCTTTGGAAATGATTCCAAGTTTGACTAGTGGATTCCTGATGAGTTGGCCAGCTGGGTCATTTACGTGAGTTGATTCATTAGAAGGGACTGAATCGATGGCGAGATCAGAGTCTCCAGGAAGAGAAACATCCTGCGCGTCTGGTGGAGCGTTCGCGGAGTATACCACTGAGAGCTCGTTCCTCCTGATGCCACGGCCCCGAGCGAGGTCTACTGTAGTCAGCTACGAACTTTAGTGGAAAAACTCCTGCTAACTTTTTCGGGAACCCGACAAGGTATACTTGCTTCTGAACAATGCAAGACGACATGTCTCGTCGACGGATCCTGAGGCTGGGGAATTCTACCGCACTCTTTTTATAGCCCCGATCTGGCTCCTTCCAGCTGCCTCCTATTTCTTTCCCTCAATGGCCATCTTCCGGACAAGGAATATGTTCTCCGGTAGATTCAATGTGACTCCACCCTTTTTCTCAGCTCGAAACCGCATTCCTTTCTTTGAGCATGGGAATGAGAAGCGTTTAAGCTTCACATCAGATCAGCACAGCTATAGAGAAAGTACTCTGGAAAATTCTGAGTTGCTGACCAGTGCGTTAAATGAGATTACAAAGTTTCAATCACATCACTTTGTGTGGGGAACTAGTATCATCACCTTGTATGGGGACCGAGTGTAAAAGAAGTGCAAGCCAGAGCTTTCTGCGCCATTCGAATAAGAAACTCACCTAAACACGAAGGATTACTCTACAAGAAAAATGACTAGAATATGAGGAAGTGCAGCTTTTTATCGTAGTCTCGAGAATGGAAGTAGCCGGTTCTTCATATAAAAGGGGAGGCCGCATTGACATCATAAGATCAATGACTGGTCTCGGCCTCGACGTATCAACGTCATTCAAACATTTATTTGTCTGCTCTGGTGCTTTTTTGATCCGTAAAGATCATGTTACTATACAGCGAAGATTACTCAAGTAAAACTCACCTGCATATATGAAGGAAAACAAGATTTGTTCTCGCGTGCTGGCGCCATGTGCTCGACATTGGCCTTGAATTAGTGAGAATGGACTATGGAGCTCTAGGCTTAATAGAAGTTGAGGTACTTGGAGCACTTACGAGTAGACTGAAAAGTTGAGCTGTCTAAAAAGTACGACGATTCAGTTAAATAAACCCTGATTTCCCCAGTATTTAGAGGCTTCTTAAAGACTATGTAGCTCTTGTGTCAGCCTGAAAGACCAGTTTGCTCAATGGCTCCAGCCGTCAGCTGTAAACCACCCATCGCTACTGATCTAATTGGGTTTGGCACTGGTCCACATTGGTCATCGAGTGACGTTGTTGAGTGAAAGGTGAACTTGAGATCACTCGTTCCATCCCTTGACCTCATCGTAAAGAAAAATTAACGGAATATAATGGGCGCCAGCTCATGTAGGAAAAATGCCACTTGGGATTAGGGGGCACAACAGTAAGTTGTTTGTTGGTTTGTTTGTTTGTTGCTGGGGTTACGAATTGAGTTTTTGATATTAGTCAATACTGTCACTGCGATGCATCCTAAAAGCGTCCTTGCTGAGCATTCGTCTTTAATTGAGTACGGCCCACCAACGTACAAGTCAGTGCTTTCATCTTCCGAAGCGAGTCTATGTATAAGAATTGCTCGACCGCGAAAGGATGGAAGGCATGGTAGCGTGGACCTGGCCTAATCCGGGATTTATTTGACCCTGGACAATGTGCATGCGATATTGTTACCCTTGCCACTACGGCCCATCCGCTTTTGCTGCCAGATAGCGAGACAATACAATTGAAACGAAAATAGTATATTTATTCTTTTCTGAACAATGCCTGATACATGAAGGTAAGATTCATAGGAAAGTGAACAACCAAACATATCTGAGTAGTTGCCTGAGACGTCTGTTTGAGCGAATTACGCTACGAGGTGTACGTCTCAACATAACAGTCAAACAGGTAGACCTGCAAAGAGTGTCGGGCCATGTCCATAGTTTCACAGCTTCAGGAAAATCACCTGGGCATAACTTATACAGATAAGTAATATATGTACACAATGAGAAGATATACTGTATGAAGAAAGCACCGCGAAAAAGTGGCAGATGCTTGTGGGCAGGAAAAGAGAGAGTCGAAAGTTTGATGGAATTCAGTCAACGAGTTTATGATGTGCGGACTCTTTTCGGCAATTCAGAGAAACGATGGACAACACACAAATCATTAGTGTAGATACAAAAAGAAATAAAAGAGATCCTGCGGCGAGTGGTGAGACGCAAATGTTCCCTTCCTTCTGTTCTTGACGAGAGGTTGTCGGACCTTAAATGACACTTGTATATTATCTCAGAATCAGTACTGTATTGCTTTAAAACCTCCTTGAAAACTGATTGTTCTACATTACAAAACGTCAATAAGGACTTTAAGGAGTTCTTGAACCTAATCCTATGCCAGCACACAGTGAACTGGTCAGACCATGATGTAATTCTGAAATCCTTACTAAAATGATGGAAAATCTATAGAAATCAAATCGCGGGGAATGCAAATCGGCTGCGCCCTGCTCCACAGCCCGTCAGGGAGGGCTGCACTGGAGCAACGGCTCTGCGTTCCTGCTTGCACTGCGCCCTGCGATCAGCTGCCTTTATATGTTTCTACATGAGGTACAGAGTAAGTAATCAACAGTGACAAAGCATTATACAAGACTCAAAGTGCTCTAATGGTATGATATTTCGAACCTGTGGTGTCGTCGATATCGAAGATTGTCATCTGCTGAGAAATTACATCAACATTGCTTTCTTCTAAATCCGTAGAACGCTTGCCACGAAGGATCTTCGGGCAATCATCTGATGAGCGCTAAAATTACTAAAATTTTTAACTATAATACTATCCAATATTGAAATCTGTGCTTTTGAAGTTGTGGAGAGACGACCGCAGGAATTACAATAATAAAAAGAATGGGAGGATAGTTTAGTAGGCTTCAAGAGGATAGTTTTTGTATACCTTGCAAACCGATCCTTCCTTCAAGCTCAATCGAATCTGGCATTGGAAAAACAGAGAAGGCTGATCAGCAAATTTGAAGACCTGAAAGGGACTGGTCCAGTTGGAGCCTGAAAACTTTTGAAGATACTAAGTAAACCTGCGACATCTGTCCACCCGTCAAGTCGGATGTGTACTCAAGGTTGTTTAGGAGGTACCTGGAATTAGCGTAGCCTAAATAAGAACGTTACTAGGTTTTCTAGACAATGAACCTAATGAAGAGGGATTACACTAATGGGTAGTAAATGGAAGACCAAGGACGTCAACTGCTTCTTAGTAGATTTGAACTTCAACTGTGACTGACCCTTGTGAAAACTTGGACATCTTGTTGACATGATTACAGAAATTGTTTATCTCTGGCGCAGAAAGGGAACCTTTTGCGTCCTCAATTCTACAAGGCTTGTTGTGCAGTTACAACTACCTAGAGCTCGGAAACACTACTTGATTGCATGGAAATATTTTCATTCCGATTTATGAAAAGTCTATCCGTAGCAAAACCACCAACCTGTCAATAGCACAACCGTTCTCGTCAAGAAGTTGCACTTCTCGACCTCCTTCTTCACGGACATTGCAAGAATGCACAGTAGCACAAAAACTGGAATCTCCTGAAGAGCCTTACATTTTGGAATTTTCGTATTAATTGCTTCTTCGAAAGCACTATTTTTATTCAAAACATAGGTCTACTGACTCCGAGAAGACATCATTCTGAGGCGGATAACATACCTTCAATTTTTCCTTCCGGATCACACGTCCATTCGTGATAGACCTGCTGACCTACCGAGGCGAATTTCAATGGAGCTCCACCTTTTCCGCCAGCAAGCACCTGTACACTATTATTGAGCTTGTGTTATGTTACCATTAAAAAAATTTTCGTCATCCGATCCAAGACAGTATACTCAGAAGAGGTACCGCTCACCACCGAACGAACTCAGTCCTAGTATCAGAGGTAAGTTAAATTCAACAAGTATTTCAACCATACGGTCGTGCTCCCACACATATTTCAACCTTGCTATGATGCTCAGCGTTGATGTTTATAGTCCACACAATATAGAAATTCACTCGTGTTTAAAGCTGGACAGGACCTGATATGGAAGGAAACTGCCAGAGATGGAAAAAATTGCTTCTCAAAAACCTGTCTACTCTTCATTTTCAATGACGAAGAAGTGGGTTCCGCTTTAGGTTTTCTTTCACTGTTTTTTCGACTGTCTCAATCGGAACCGGCCTGACTCGTATCGGCCCCTCTAATTTTGTACGCAGTCTACCATGTTCACCTAATCCCTTGACAACTGCCCTCAACCTTACGATTATTGGATTTCGACACAAACAGGCAGCCAAGCGTTATCGCCTTATGAGCAAGGTCGTATCTTATGCTATTCCACCGCATAGCAACAGCCCTTCACGAATCTGTGAATTTCGATCGCGCTACATAGATCCGTCGGACGATTTGTTACGAGCAAGCGGAAGGACATGCGGCTCACTCAGATCACGATGATTCACCTTTGATTCAAACTGCTTTGCAGGTCAATTCAAATTAAAAGCGTCGCGCCCAGCAAGGACGCTTTTTTAGACTTTTCGCCAGATAAAATTTCTTGCCCAAATATTTCATCCGATTGCTATGGATGAGAATCTCTCAAGAGTTCTCGTATGACAGAGGCTGACATTTGTCACGTCTGAAGGAAACCATTTTAGCTCAATAGCTATAAGTCAATGAAAAGTTTCACAAAAGAATAGAGCGAGTGAATTTGGCTCAAATTCAGATCATCAAGGTAGAACAGGTAAGCCAGTGTCTGTTTAATAATCACAGTAATTCTTCTTTCTTGATGCTGTACAGTTTTGATTGTCAGCTTCAAAGTGAAAAGACCGATTGAGAACAATAATGGAGAGTGTTAATCTTCAGAAAGTATTTCTCTCAACGAGCTCCTCAGCAGAGGTACTAGAGAGCGGCATTAGACGTCTATGAAGGTGACATGCCGATGTTAACACCGTCAAGGCTTCATTATAATAACGAAAGCCGGTCTAGAAGAAGGCGCATTCATAAATGGTTCTTTGTTCTCTGAGTAATCTAGAGCGCTCAAGGAAAGTAAGGCTAGTTGGTTGGCATGCCCTAAGACATAGCATAAAGGGCTGGTAGCGGTGATTTGAAAATCCACATCCCCAGCTCAGACAAGATCTGCACGTGGCTATACTCTACCATCTGTGGTTGTAGATCAAAAAGAGATCGAATTCTGAATAATCAAGGCTTCACGTCCTTTCCGTCTCCTCTTAGGAAAGATCTAACAGTGTATAATCATATGTTTCCGTTTTTCTCGTTATTAGACCCTATATTATAAATCTCTACAACGACATTTAGAAATTCAATCAGCAGAAAATGTTAGCATGCACCTCATGACAAAGGGTGAGCGGTACATCACCATTTCTGACCCTCAGGGCCTTCATCGATTTCGATCGAAACTGGCTTATACATAAGATAGTACGTTTGGTAAAATGATCACACCTGGTATCGACATTCTGGTAAGGGTACCGTTGAAGTGAGCGTCTCATCGACGAGCTTATGGGCAACGCTGAAAATCGGGCACATTTGGCAGTAATCTTGTAAATACGAATTCGGTCTTCGATTGACCATATCAAGAAGAGCAATCCCACTCGTGAAGAACATTCGACGATTGCCCTTCGTTTGGTGTCGCGTCTTGGTCACCGATGATCACCAGCACATTTTTCTGCATATCGTTTCCCTCGCTGAAAGAATTTATTTTTCATTTATTTATCATAGACGCCATATAAGACAGCGTTGAAAAAGAAAACACAAACAAACGCCAGCAACACAAAACATTACGAAAGTTTCGCTTTCGCTGAAAGTAACATCTCAATAGTTTTATACACCTAAAGCATGCCAATTTCCTAACTTAACCCAGGACCAATCCCCCCCCCCCCTTCATAGTATAAGGTGTAATGTTTTCAGGAATTCGTGTGACCATAGATAGAGGTGGGCTCCCATCAAAAGGGTTTGATCAAGATTGCTAACCGATGCCATCACTGTAAATGGGTCACGGGTTCGTTTACCGTAGCGATACGCCTAGGCTATTAAGTGATTTTAACTGGTGATTCACGAGGGTCGACCGAGATTCATGTCAAGGTTTTTAAATGCAGATTCAAGAAAAATGGCAGTCCTGGGAATTATGAACTATGAAGGATGCATTGTAAAGAGTCAATGTCTCATGTAGTTCGAGTAAGCAGACCGTTATCAACTGATTTTCAGATTAATTTTTCACTTTAAAGAAGGAGCAGTATCGAATATCGCAGATACATTGTCCGGGGATCGAATCCGGGATCGATATGCCCATAAGCTTTCGTTAACTCAGGGATCGCTTACTTGGTGCCAGCCTCGTACGGGATGATAAAAGCACTGGCTTGTAAAAAGACTGAATGTATACAATATATACGCATTCGAAATACTTTTTTCCATTCTGAATGTGAGTCGGATGTGTAGCGAATCCAGAAAACGGGTTTTGTCTAACGCTTAATCCTTATCCTGAACAATGTAAGATTTACTTATGATTACCTGACGTTCAAGTTCTGGGTGACCGTCTTCGCTGTTTCTGCGTAAAAACATTGAACTCTGTACGATTTATCGACCTTCGTCACGAACATCTGAAAAACGGTACCTCATTTGCGATGGCCGTTGAATGTTAGTAATTAAACCTTTCGTGGAAAATAAGATCATTTGAAAGTTGACTACTGATTTTCATTGAGATGAAAGTTCGTCTTCGGAGAACCTGTATGAGAAAGAGCATCACAGGAAAGCGCTCGATAGTTCTCAAGAAACTATAAACCAAACCCTCCCACTCTTGAATATCTATTCTAGATAATTTCGTAGCTGAGCAAATCGACGAAGCAAATATTAGTTATCTTGGGACAGACGTTCGGTGACGGCTTCATTAAAGCTTATTCTAATAACGACAAGAGGCAGATCCTCTGTTTGAAGGAATAGTTCAAGCTTGAGGGGTAGAAGGTGAAAGCGAATTTCTTAGAAGAGATAACCTCTCCTACAGATTACACGTAGTATCACTTCCAATTACGTTATACCACTAAAAAGATTGGAAGGCGGCGCACATAGGTACCAATAGGTGGCGGTTGAAAAGCTGACAGTTTGAATTCCAAAATTACAATTACCGCTCTTTATAATGTTACGTGAAATTCAAACTAGGAGCAATACCAAAGGAAAAAAACCCATGCGATTCCACAGGTTCCACGAGTATCTTACCGGATGAAAAGAAATGATGATTGTCGACGCAAGCAGAAGTCCACGCGGAGAGTTCTAAAAAGCAATGATTAGTCGTTACAAATAGCTACTTACTACAATTTGCAATTTTCTACAATACTCAATGACGTGGCTTAGCACCGTGCCCGTTTAGCTCTGAATCGGCTCTACGCAGATAGAGTGCCACTTGATCCTTATTATATTGCCATTTCCTGTGTTCCTAACAACGGCAGTTTTTCTATGGGAAGATGATGGTAGAGGTTATGCTTCATCCTCTGCCGTTTTACCAGTTCAAATACAGTCTTAGCAATCGTCCCAATGGCGAAAGTTTGAGAGCAACAGGCGTCATGCCAATCTTCGACAAATTGTCGGCGCTAGAAAATTGTCCCGAACGAATCGCAGTCACGCCTCATTAATCCCCAGATTTTTCACAAAGGAGCTTGCAAATCATGTTTGTTGGAGTGAAAGATGTAAATCGAGCGATAGTTTGTTGATAGGAATCCTGAAGCCACCACAAATACAGGGCAGGTACAAAACATTTGGGTTAAACTCTGGTCGTTCTGTACAAAATACTTGTGATTTTATTGTTTTTTTTTTGCTACGTAGTGAAATACTACGATGTTTTTACGCAGTAAAATACTACGACGTTTATAAAATCGTAAAAGAGGCAGTATTATTCATAGCAGGCTGGGAGTAAAGAGTAAATCAATGAATAAGTAGGAGTAATGGTAGCGTAAACCCCATGTCATGTTGTCTTACGATTTTCGGGTCGGGAAAACACCGTTCAATTCCGCTCGTCAGTTTTTTGAAGAGCAACATCAAAGACATTAATGTCATGAACACAGTGCAGTAGTTCACCTCGGTGGTATGGGCATGTTGAGGCATTCCCTTATCAGCACAAAAGTCAGATCATTGAAAGGAATTTAGTCATGAAGTTTGTAAGCATTTGGTGTCAATCACCTCGTTTGTGGAATGCGCCCCCGATTCGATTCCATTCAATATCGTAGTGGCGCTTCTCAGGTGTTTTTGACCTAATACAAAGACTTGCGATGGCCATTTACAAGTCAGTGCTTTCATCCTCTCAGATCAATTCGGTACCGAATAATCGACCCCGAGCTTGTTTAACTTTGGCAGTAAAGATGCGTGATTCCAACCGCGAACCGTGTGCGTGTGATTGGGCGCCGCTTGCCACTACTCCACCTACCGCCTTAAGGAATTCTATGTAAAAGCCAGTCCACTCAAGAGCCAATTCCTCTCAAACTACTCAAGGAAGAGCTATTCGGGCTAACAATCTACAATAGAAAGTGCCGAAGTATTAAGATCGTTGAAGAAAACTTGCCGATCGTTGCCGTAGTACGTCACACTCTGCAAATGCAACTGTCAGGTTTGCCGTCCTTTCCAGTGACGCATCAGAACGACAGCCTTGCGACCTTCAAACATCGTTCATTACAATTTAGCCATTGTCATGAGGTTTATTAGGCAATGATCAGCTGTTGTATTGGCACAGATGACCGCTTTTTTGTAGGATGGGACTTCATCGAGAAACCATTCAGGCAGGAAACCTCGCAGTGGCTTTGGAGTCCTTTTAATGTATGGCATGAAGGAACATTATAATTCTGTTCTATGTTTTCTGGGAAAGTCTTTCGAGAGACGCGGCTAGGGCTTTCCAGTAGTTTGAAAGCAGCATTCTTCGGCAGAAGCAATGCAGTGTTACCTTTGTCACTGAGACGTCAGAAATCTTTTCTCATCATCTATGAACAAGGTGAGGTGAAGATGATGGTAGCTGATCATTTCGATTTCACATAAGTTTCCTAACGATCTTGAAACATCTCAAAAACTTACCAGTAATGTCCTTTGACGTAAATATGACCTTCAAATGGTGATCGGGTAGTAAATCGTACGCTCAAACTTTCGCTTCCACATTCTATAACTGGTTCACCTGAAAATGAGCATCATGTCATGAAAGTGCAAGAACGCGTGGAAGTCTCGAGACAATAACTTACATGTTCGGTCTTCTTGAAACCTGGGCATATTGTATAATGTTTTTCCACTGTTTTGCCGTACAGGTTTGTTAAGGAAGAAACCGCTTTATTGGTCGACGTTTCGACAAATCGTCATCTTCAGGACCTGAAAGCAGTTCGGAGCTCCTGATCTGTGGCTTACCCGACCAAGCGCCCAAACGCGCCAGCCCAGTTGCAACAGCTCCCAGAAACTTAAACACTAAAAGATCCGAACCGAGAAACCAACCTTCTGCGGTTCCACCAACGTTGTCGTCCCCCGCAGAAGGTTGGTTTCTCGGTTCGGATCTTTTAGTGTTTAAGTTTCTGGGAGCTGTTGCAACTGGGCTGGCGCGTTTGGGCGCTTGGTCGGGTAAGCCACAGATCAGGAGCTCCGAACTGCTTTCAGGTCCTGAAGATGACGATTTGTCGAAACGTCGACCAATAAAGCGGTTTCTTCCTTAACAAACCTGTACGGCAAAACAGTGGAAAAACATTATCTCGAGACAATTACTCAGTCCTGAGTGACTCATATCGTCCTGTGAGTTATTATAATTGCTTTCTACGGTCAACGATTTGCTGGGTCGGTCCCCTGTGACAAAAAAATATTGGCGGCTACCTTTTCCCCCAACAAACTCGGCATTACCAAGGTCACGCTCTTGGCCACGCACTTTTGATAATCGTGTGAACCACTGAAGTTTTATGAGGAACCGCGAGAAGGTTCTCAATTCAGTAGCAAAACTATTTGTATGGTGGTTATTGCCATAACTAGTCAGACGGTACGTTCTGTTATTGGTTGGTGTTTTACAACTACATTGTTGTGTTCACCTCACTACACTTCTAGCCAACAGTTTACGTTACTATTGTCATGAGTTTACTGTTGCATTGAAGGCTCCAATGAAATTTTCGCTCATTCAAGTTTGCGCATAAGATGCGACTTCCCCCTTTGGGATCTTCTTTAGGTGGATCACTGAACTGTTACATAAATGTCGCAGGTGCCATCCTAAACGACGACATAGCAACTGTTAACTGACTTATTTTTTACGATGTAGCCCCCCACAAGGATAACGCCGATTACGTTCTGGGTGTTTTCGTTTGAATTCTTGAGAAAATCTCAGTTCTGGAGAGAAAATCACTCACCCACTAATCCATTATCTACAATATCGGCCAAGACCACGGGGACGGCCTGAAATCGAGATTTTGCGGACATAACAAAACTTCAACAGGTGGAAAAGAAACAGTTGAACACATTTATAATCTCACCAATAGGAGATGGATCCCTGGAAGCCTTCTAACCATCTGAAAAGTGCTAGAATTGGAGGATACTAATGTGGCGTTGTCACAGTTGAAAGATGAAACACCACTAATCATTCTTTAGGGAGAAGTTTTCGCCAAAACACAAGAGAAACGAGTATTTTCGAACACAACTGAGTTGAACAACAGGTACAGTGACGAGTGGCTGTGAATCAATAGCAGGCAGTATCGAAAAAATTAAATCGAAGAATGCTATACATGGAATTGAACTGCAATGATCATCATTACGTGAGCGTTCTGTCCTGTCGAAAACGGTTCAAGCTTCCCCTCTCTGATACCCATCACCGGCACTGTTATAGCCTTGTGGGAACACTCACAAAAAACTGTCTTCCGATAGTTTGACCTGAAATCGGCTATCTGAACCACGCTCGTTTCAGGTATCCTTAATCGAATAGGAAGGCCAGGTGGAATAGGAAGAGGAAAGGTTATGGGTGTGCATTTGGGTGTCAGACGTCAACCACTTTTCAGACCTGTCACCCTTACCCCAACGCTGAACCCTGTAGAAGGAGGTCGACCGGACACACACGCACACGGCCGCCCAGTAATATCGTGAAGATGCGCTAATCCTGATGGGGTGAAGGGGCGGAAACTCACGGAGCTGAAAGAGGTTGTGGCAGGGGCGGTACTTGACCGGTTCAATCATTCGTCATCGATCGTGTTGTCATTAGGGCTTCATTAAAAGCAGTGGACACATTGACCATGAGGGAGCTGTTCCCAGGCCATTTCGTGGCCTTCATGGTAAGTCATCCTCTTAAACGGAACTTTTAAACAGAAGTGGCACCAATGGAGAGGATCAGGTTTGCTGAGTTGCACGATTTGACTTTTAAGATCAAATGGCTACATTACAGTTATGCTATATTAGTTGTATGTTGTTAATGTGGACAGGAAGGTCGGGATGTCATGAGTTGGAAGTGCTTGGCAACACTATTCGGGGGGTTGCCTAAGGACGCCAAGTGACAATTCGCCACTTGAGTTCTACTCATAACAAAAAGAACGCGTTCCGTCGAAATGACGAAAGGTCACTTGTAGCCACAGCAGCGGTACGAGAGAGCTTCCCGACTATAATAATAGCAAAGTCTAAGTCTAATAGTCAATCGTCTAATTGAAGTACGGTTCGAAAACAGAGTTGATTTTACTCTATAAAATATATAGGAGTGAAATTCTTGTCGGAGAAGTTAATAGGAGTAGAAGTAGACAACTATAGGACCTACAATACTAAAAAAACTTTTGTGTTAGCTTACAACAAGTATGTTGAGAAAGCAAAGCCTGAAACCTTCAGAGACGATAATGGTGTTGCCCCTCTCACTTTCATATCTATATTCCTACAAATACCACGTATACAAAAATAGGATCAAAATTGTATACGAGAATATAGAAATGACGATTCAACAAGTTCATTTGTAAAGAAAAGAAGATTCGTCTATACATTGAACACATTTACACGAAGGTACACATGAAGTAAATCTGGAGCGAGCTCAGTAGGGAAATCACTGGATCGATGTTAGTTGGAGATCAATGCTCAAAACGTATACCTATTAAATGCAGTAAACGAACCGTATTCGAAAAGCACTATGCACCAGAATGAGCATAATCCAGCCTTCTCAACTTCTCAGCATTCAAGAAGGTGCAGTTCGAGTAGCTACAAAGAAAACAGAAATGGTGAATGTCAGCCGCATGGGAAGAGCTCAGCGAAAAGAGAGCCATCGGGAGCAGTACTGTTTTGATAGAGAGCTTCTTGTTCAAATAGCAGCCATCCATTCGGGTGGATGTAGGCGAAAGTCTGCAAGCCTTGCGTGTCTGGTTAGGGCGAAATACACGGCGATAATTAGTGGTTGAAGATGCTTGCTCGTGTAAGAACTTCACCTATCAAAGAATGTTGTTTCCCTTACAAGGACAGTCTTCAGTAGGACGAAGCAAAGGTCTCTTAAATTCGTTTCGGTATCGAATTCCTCACTTTTGAGGTGCACACTGTTGAAGAGTGTGAGAATAATGTAAAAAGTGCTCCAGTGAAAAAAAAATTTTGAGACTTTCCACATCTGATCTCAGAAGAACACATCACATGGTCTGGTACGTACATAAGCGCCCACTAAAAGAGGTGAAGAAATGATTCAGAATTTCCGGAAAAACTGGTTTTACTCTAAAAAACTTTTGTGCCCGAACTCCACGAACATATCTCTCCCATCTCGTCATGTTCTGAAGTGAACGTTTGAAAAGGTACAGCTCCTCACGGAAGGCAACAAGGACGAGTATCGCTGGTAACCCAACTTTTTAGGAATAATCCTAAGAGGATTGGAAACTTGCTAGAAGCTTTTGCACCTTCTTCTAATCCTTCGGATTGCACATTTCCCATCTATAAAATCAGCTGCAACACAAAGCTGTGGGAAGTCTGGTTTTACGGCCACCCCCACAGAATGTTCCGAACGTTGCGCTGCTGGGATAACGGAACGAATGATTTGAATAAGGGAGACGAATGAGTAAGGAACCGTAAAAGGTCGAAACGGCAGAAGGAGTAAGTATGCTTTTTTTCATGATTCAATCGTTGCCCCTGAATCACCACAACGATTAGGTCATCTCCGTGTGAATTTACCAGTGTCTGCATGCTAAAGATGTGGAGTCTATAAATACGCTGCCTTCTCAGACAGATCATGTTACAAAAGAGATAGCGAAGGTTCACAACTGGAGTTTCAAACGGGACGGATTCGATCAAAGGCTGATCGAGCACAAGCGCCCCTCTCTCTTGAACGCCCTGCCTCCTCCTACAGCAATGATTGAAAAAACGAGTATTGTTCTGAGATGGACATTTTCTTTGAACTCCGTATAGAAGGATGTTATCTGATCGAAGCAGTAAATTTAGAAGTAATATAGCTTAACAATGTTGATACAGAGCTGTAAAGCTGTACGGTAGAATTCTCGCTGTGACAAACATCGTTCGAACAAACATATTGCGTTGATCACTAAGAAAACTGGGTTACTGCCGAATTTCCAGCTTGATAAGAGCCAAGAGTCAATTTGAATTAGAAACCGTGATAATCATTCATCATTCATTCATTCATTCATTCATTCATTCATTCATTCATTCATTCATTCATTCATTCATCTGCATCTGCATCGATTCATCTGCATCGTTTTCGGACGGCATCGAGGCGACTAGTATGTGTGACGTGTTCCAACGTGGCTGCAAGTGTGTGCAAGTGCGTACTTATGTATATATGTACATGTATATGTATATATATATATGTGTGTGTGCGTGTGTGCGCCGTGCCAGGATTCGTGCAAGAACTTGTGAACTGGAAGCAGAACACGACGTTCGTTCGATCACCTGGCGTCCGACAAAACCATTGCGCTAATGACGGATCCCATTCAAAGCAAACACAGAACGACCCGAATGCTCGCATGACATCGTGAGGCCCTAAACACTATTGGTACCAGGAACACAGCTCTTCAACACAGTCATGGGAAGGTGTGAAACACATTTCACGAGTTTGAAGCTCTCACGGAAACAAGCACAAGAGCGCAGTCATTCGGAAAAAAACTAATTGAAAACAAAACTCTTACGCTTCAATTGACTGGCACTAGAGAAGACTCCTTTTCAATTTCGGTTCCGAATTCCCCAAACTACT